GGAGCAGGGAGCCCGATGTGGGACTCGATCCCGGGACTCCAGGATCATGACCTGAGCCGAAGGCAGTCGCTTAACCAACTGAGCCACCCAGGCGCCCGGAAAGAAGCTGATTTTTATCAAAAGGTTTTTGGTTTTACTAAAAGTTAATTAAAGAGCTACCTTTTTTTTTTGAAGATGGAATGAGATTTATAAACCCTATTAATTAGCTAAAAAAGCAGATCATCTCTTAAAGAAAACTGCAGCATCCAAGGTGATTTAATTGCCACATCTAATTAGAAAAATAATTCACTATTTTTTAGAACCTAAAGTATAAATTAGAAAAAAGTAACCCATTTAATGGGACATTGTCATCCTTGTCATTTTTGGTTAATATCCAAGGAAGCAGCTTTTATTTAAGTATACCATGAAAAAAGAGTGTTGTAAAACTCTAGGCAACTTGACAAATTTTTTTCCTTTTCTTTCCTTTGCCTTAATGTAGGTTGTAGGATGAGATCAGCTTGTTTGATTTATCCTTGGTAATGGTTCTTTCAGGGATTGAAATTGCTATCTAATTAAAATATATCGTACATCCTTTCATAAGCTCTAAGAGTTTGGAAACTTTCTAGAAGAAAATCACAATAATTTTCTTATGGAGCAATCATACATGTGTGTTTTTCCTTTTAGGTTCAAGAATTGACCAAGGAATGGACAAATAAGTGGAATGAAACCCAAAATATTTTGAAAGTAAGGACTGTAATAAGGTGCCTTAATCTTATTATCTTGGTTTAAATAGGTAAAACTTTTTTTTCTTTCTCCCTCAAATATGGCTATTATGTGCTTTGCTTAAGGTAAGATCGGTGACTTTTGGGGGATTGGGGTTCTGGTTTGATTTTGAAGAAATGGAAATGTAGCTATGAGATATTAAAGCTCTGTGTATTTTAACATGTAGAGGGGATGCTGATACTTCTGTTTCCACTTGTTGAAGTTTTTCCATTTTTGACTCAGCACGTGTTAAACTCACCTTAATATTCAAGGGCATCCTTCCTGCCTTTGTTAAACCCAGTTTAAAAGTGGTATGTTAGATGAGAAAAAAAAAAAAAAATATGTTCCACGGCAGTATTGTAGAATGTGCATGCGTTAGCATGGCTAGATTTCAGAAATTTCTGAACTAGTAGTTTCCTATTGGAATTTTGATCTGTGTCTCAAGGGCTAGACAGAGATGGTCTGCCTGTTTGACGAGGCTCATCGTGAAAGGTGTCACCAGTGGCCTCCAGTTTTCATCCTCAAAATGCTTCAAAATACGTATTTCTTCATGTTCCCAGTTTTTGCTGGGTTGGCAGGAAACCTGAGTCTTCTGTTGAGGGTCAGCCATGCCAGGTTTGAGGTTCAGACCTGAATATAAGCTTTGATAGTGTCTGACCTCACCCACGAGAGTAGGTGATTCAGAGACCACTGAATCCTGGGTTTGTTTTTTAGGCCTATTTAGGCAAAACTTCCCCGGACGAGTGAAGTCTCCTCTACCATTAGCAAGGCTGGATAGATGAAGTTTAGCTGCGTGTCTTGGCAGAACCCTAACTTGGATCCCCTGTACATGAAAACGGGGCACCCACTTAACTGTGTCATGGGAGCAAGCTCTTGAAGGGCCTGGATTGGCCAGTTCTGTGTCTAACAGCTCTGAGAGGGGTCATATTGTGTTCAGTTCTCCATGTGCCATTTAGGTGGCTTGGCCTGCTCTTGGGCTTGAAAAGACTGTTTCTCGTGAGGTGGGATGTTGTGCTGTGCTTCTCAGCATGGGTGGGTTGGTCATGATGGTCTGAGAGATGATACTTCCAGTTACAGAAAGCACTGCCCTGAGTGAGGGGTCCTGAGTCCAGACTTTCTTTTCTCCTCTCCTGGTTCTGGTGATAGGGTCGTATTATTTTGAGGTACTTCCTCAGCGTTTCCTGTGTCTAGAGATTTTTGTGCAGGAAACCGAGCCAGGACCTCACTCGCACTTCAGGGTAGTCAGGTGTGGAATAAGCACCCCCCGAGACATGGGCAGTTTTCATCCTGTGGCGGCATCAGCTCTCAGAAAGAGTGCCGCCTCCCCTGACTGTGAAGCCCATGTCGTTTGACCTTTCATGGCACAGTGTACGCTCTCCTCGGTAAATCTGCAAAGAGAGAGGATGGAAATCTGTTCCAGTTAAGGAAGAGAGAAACCAAATAGTTAGCTCTGAAAATCAGTGCCAGTCAGCACGGGCGGCAGCGCACCAGAACCTTGAAGACTCGAGCCTCGCCCTTCTGCCGTGGGCTCTGTGGGTCCCTGTGGGTCCCTGGAGGAGGGGTTTTGTGGCAGCTCCGCGGAGGGATCCTGCCTCAGAGCCGCCATGATGAACCCGTCAGGTCCTTTGTTACGCTTTTCCTCCTAAGGTGATTCTGGGCCCTAAAGCTAAGTCGTCCTGCAATTCCATTATTCATACATCTTTTTATTTTTATTTTTTTTAATAACTTTTCAGATGAGAAGAGTGGAAATGTGATGTGTGCTAGGTGGTAAAGGTTACGAGAAAGGCTAATGATATTTCACATTTTTCTGTCTCTTGCTCTTGCAAGCCCATTTTGGATTTCTCTGCTGGTATTTGAGTTTTAAATCTGTAGTCGTTTTCAGCTCACGTTTGATATTTTAAGGGCTGTCTTCCTCTCTTATTGGAAGACAGTGCCTGAGGCCTGAGGTGAAGGAAAAAAAAAAAAGGCAGCTGCTCAAATGCTGTTTTTGAAAACATTCTTTGGAAATTGATGAGGGAAAGGGAGTGTTATCCGATGAGTTTGTATCTGTGTGGTTTATGAAATCCTTTCCCATGTTTCTTTTGTCGGACTGTTCCCTCAATCAGCTTTTGCTCCAGTAATGCTGTATAGAATCCACTCCAACCCAGTGGCTTAAAACAGCATTTTCCCTCATGCATGTACAGGTTGGCTGGGGGTTGGCTGGGTGAGTCTGCTTTGGCTGGGCTCCAGTCCAGGCTGTGGGTGGGTTCCAGGTCTGCTCCACATGTCTCTCATCCTCTTGGACCAGCTGTTGTCCGGGGCATGCTCTTCTAATGGTCTTGGCCAAGGTACTAGCAGGCAGGCCTAGCTGTGCAAGCACGTTTCAATATATTTTTTTTTTTTTAGATTTTTATTTATTTAACAGAGAGAGAGAGAGAGCACAAGTAGGCAGAGCGGCAGACAGAGGGAGAGAGAGAAGCAGGCTCCCTGCCGAGCAGGGAGCCCGATGTGGGGCTCGATCCCAGGACCCTGGGATCATGACCTGAGCCGAAGGCAGCTGCTTAACCGACTGAGCCACCCAGGCGCCCCACGTTTCAATATTTTGTTTGTACTGTGCCTTCTAGCATCATGTTGACCAAAGCAGGTCACTTGGCTGAACTGAAAATCAAGGGGGAACTTCATTCACAACAAGGTGATGCCAACGGTGTAAATGTACAACCTGCTTTGAGATCAATGGTTTAATTTACACACACCCATGTTAAAATGTGAGTCTTCAAATTTTGGGAACTTGCTCTTCCAGAGAATTTGCACATTTTGTAGAGACCAGCCCAGTGAACCAGTAAGTTCCCAGGATTATGTTCATTGTCAGGACCTAGTTGTTGACTCTGCCCATTTGCCAATTGTCCTTTTCAAGCCCCCAGTTCTGAACATCCAAGGAGAGACCTTTGGGGAGAAGAATGAAGAGAGTTAAAATATCCAGGGGATTGAAGGGAGAGGAGAGAGCTGATTCGGTGTTTGTTGGCACTGTGACTGCCTGCCTTGTTGCTTTTTCTTGTCTAAGTGTATCGGCGATTTGTTTCAGAGGAAACCATGGTATTGTTTGAAGAGAGGACTAAGGAGAGGAGCATAACCCATCTTCTCAGTCATCAGAATGATCTTTGTCGGTGTTGAGCCATCTGTGCCATATGCTTGTATCTCCTCCTTCAGTTTTGAGACCCAGGATTAGTCTATCAGCATATATCATGCAGAGTTGCTTCTGGAATATATGGGAGCCCCCTCTCATGCAGGGGTAGGAGTCTCAGTGTGTAAGGCAAAGGTCCCTTAGTGGCAGAATTACACTTGGAAATCCCTTCATTTCCCTGGAAATCAGTAGATCCTGAGCTCCTGGATGCTCACAAGCCAAGGAGTAACTTTGTTCCCTTCTTTTAATTTGGTCTGTGGCTTCCCTTGCTCTGGATGAGTGATCCAAGATCCTCTTGTGCGGGGATAGAGGGAGAGTGGAAGGCTGCTGGCCACATTCATGCTCTGAGAAAGGGTGATGGCTGTTTAGAGCCAGGCTTGTGGCACCATGGTGACAATGGCGGAGCCTCAGGTTTTGAACTGTGGAACTCGGATCTCAGACTTCAGTTCTCTTTCTGACTCACTGGGTCATGACACTTACCCACAAATGTCTCATACCCTGGTTCCTAACTTGGAAATCAGGGTGGATGGCAACCTCTTCCCTAGATCCAAGTTAACGGGCTAAGACATAATAAAGTCCTTGGATTTATTTTGAAAGCGGCTAATGAAGGTACAAAGTATGTTAATCTTAAGGAGGCCATTCTTGGGCAGTTAGGTAATGAAAGTTTTATTATCTTCCACAATGTACTCTGTATATCCACTCTCTTGCCCCTTAACCTGCCTTCCTTATTTTCATTAATCTTCATTTTCTGGAAATTAAAGTCCAGACTCCCAGAGGCAGCAGTCTCCTCAGTTCCCTGTTTACTTTGACCGTTCTCCCTGCCCCAGGACCCCTGGGATCCCACCTGCGCTGCCAGATGTCCTGCTGGTCCCTGTGCATACCTGTGTGTTGGGTCTCTTAGTGTTTCTTGGCCTTTGCCTGTGTTGCTCCACAATTCCAGATGCTTCCTTCTCCTTTCAAGGCCTGTCAGAATCCACATGGAAGCACTCTCTCTGGTCACACTTCTCCCCCACTTCCCAGTTGGAATGATTTTGTTCTCCTTGGGCCTTTATAGCGTTTGGTTTTACCTCTGTTGCAGCATCCATTATAATCTGACGTTGGTGGCCTTGATTTCTCCCTCTGAACAGGAGCAGGTCTGGGCAAGGACTGTCTCTTTATTATCCTGTAAGCCAGCTTCGGGAACTCTGCTTCTCACAGAACAGGCGTGCAGCAGAAACTTAACTGCATTAAAGTAATATCAAGAAACAAAAACCAAGACCTTTATATTATTTTGCTAGGGTTGTCATACGAAACATCACAGACTGGGAGGGCCTAAACAGCAGAAATTTATTTTCTCACCATTCTGGAAACTAGAAGTCTGAGACCAAGGTGTCGGCAGGGTTGGTTTCCCCTGAGGCTTCTCCCTCTAGCGTGTGGTTGGTGTCCTTCTCTCTGTGTCCTCACATGGCCTTTTCTCAGTGTGCCTGCTCCGCTGGTCACCCTCTGTGTCCGAATCACCTCTTTTTATAAGAACATCAGGCAGATTGTACCCTAACTGCTTCATTTTAGTATAATTACCTCTTTGAAGGCCCTGTCTCCAAATACAGTTACATTCTGAGGTACTGGGGAGTAGGACTTCAGCAGCTGAATTTTAGGGGCACACAATTTAGCCCATAACGACCTGGAAGCATACAAATCGGATGGTGTGGTGGGAGGAGTGTTGTGCACACAGTGGTCTTGTTCCTATCTCTACCTTCCATCATATGTTCCTCATTCTTCTTTGAAAGGCTTACACGTGAGTGTGTGTTTTTTATTATGGGAAGGAATGTGGGTGGCTGCCTTC